AAAATAAGTCAAAGCTTGGCTGCATTTTACTGCCATCTCTAAACATTTATCAAGTGGCAGGCATTATCTACAGTACTGTACAAATGGGGAAAATTACAGATTACCAGTGCAACAGTGCTTGGGTATTAACTACCATGTGCACAGATGCATTTAGAGCTCTGCTAGCTACATTTTTCACAAGGAAAAACGTCCCTGCCAAATAAAAGGCACTGGTATTAAAGTTCAAACACTAGCACTTGGATGTGTCTGGTATTTTTCAGTTGGTCAGCAACAAACAAATCTTTTTTTTCTTTTTTTTGAACATCCCTTTAGTATAGCTTTAACTCTGCAGCAAACTATATCACAAAGTATGGAAAGCCAATATTGGGTATTTAGTTAGGGAATGTGCACCTTCAACCATTTCTTCTTACATCCATTTTTGCTTTGCAGGCATGGGGGAAATGGAAGTCAGTTTCTGGTTTCTACATGCTAATGGTAACATATACTATAAAATATTTCCCAAAGATAGGAGGAAATTAAAGTGGAGTTCCAGCCGTTTTTGTGTTTATTAAAAGTCAGCAGTTACAAAAACTGTAGCTGCTGACTTTTATTAAACACACACTTACCTGTCTCAGGGTCCAGCGATGTTCTCATCCAGGCTGTCTCTTCTCTCCTCCTCGCCTCCATGGTCCGCATCTCAGCTGTGGGCCCCAGGCTGTGAGAGCTTGTGGCTTCACAGCCTGGTGTCCACTGCGCATGCGCGAGTTGCCCTGCACCTCCTGATTTGTCCGGCAATCTTCTGGGACCTGTGAAAGTTCCCAGGAGACTGCGGGAGTAAGGAGAAGGTCGAAATTCTGACTCACTTGCTGCAGCAAACTGAGCCAGAAGTGGGAGAAGGTACTCATCAAAAACAGGTATCCGCTCCCCCCTCCCCCCATCAGGTGCCAAATATGGCAGTGGAGGGGGGGGGGGGAGGCAAATAAGTGGAGCTTTTGAGTGGAACGCAGCTTTAAATATGGAATCTCTGTGTCTGCAAACACCAAGACAAGCTTTATAATCTATCATTCAATAGTTAGAGTACTAAACCTGTTTTGAGAAGTCATAAAGAAAATAAGGAAAAATCTATCATTAAAACACTCCACCCTCACCAACTACATGTCTAGAGATGGAAGGAGACAGATGTCCCTTGTACCCAAACCTCAAAGCTTGACCTTTGACTGAAATATTTTTAACAATAAACTTAAAGGAAGCTAGTTTCTCTGCATCTGACATTAAAATGACAATGTATATAAATAACTAATATACATAAAAGGGATATAACACAATATTTAGCAAACAATAAAAGGCCCTGAAAGCAGACAGCTTAATCGACAGGTGTTTTTACATATTTTAGTTCATCTTTGAGAAACTGACAGTAATACTTGCTTTGAAGCACAGAATCCAGTAAACAAAAGTGCTGAAGTGCCAATATTACCTACAAAAAGAGACCAAATATATCATCTGGGAGTTAGTTATGCACACTTTGGAATTAATGAATTATGAACTTAATTACTGCTGACGACAATCTAAAATACCAGGCTCCACTTTTAATTAAATATTTGTAGGGCAACAATACTGAAAGAAGAAAGGGGTTTAATTTATTTCTACTGAAAACATTATCTATTAGATTATATATAATTAAGATATAAATAATGTATTTATATATTAGGTTACCATAGATGTTTAGATAGATGTCTGCAATCAAGAATAAAAGTTCAATATACAGCAATTGATGTTGGATTCTCGAAGAAAATTAAAATGCTCTACCACCCTAAAAGGTAGAAAACAACAGAGTATAACAACGTGGAACACACACACCGATTACCACCTTCCACCATAACTTGTCAAGGCATGGACTTCACTAGACCATTAAAGGTATGCTAGAATCTGGCACAAACCCATCAATAGCAGATCCTTTAAGTTCTGTAAATTGTGAGGTTGCGCCTCCACGGCATGGACTTGTTTTTCAAGCACATCCCACATATGGTCAATTGGATTGAGATCTGGAGAATTTGGAGGCCAAGTCAACATCTCAAACTTATCATTGTGTTCCTCAAACCATTCAAAAATTCATTAGACTCGGCCACCCTTCTTCAATTGCTCTGTGGTCCAGTTGTGAGGCTCAAGTGCCCAATGTAGGTACTTTTGGCTGTGGACATGGGTCAGAAAGGACATCCTGCACCGTAACCAATCTGCCGGTATTCAGCCACATACAACAACTGATGCACTGTGTGTTCTGACACCTTTCTATTGGAAACAGCATTAACCCCTCTCTTTAAAGAAGCCTATCCTGCTTCTAATACACTGTATTTTTACTTTCTCCATCAGCTCATCCTGCACAGTTATTAATTTTTGTAATCACCCTCCCTTTTAGAGTGTAAGCTCTAACAAGCAGGGCCCACTAATTCCTCTTGTTCCAAATAATATTGTTACCATAATGTCTGCCTTCATTTTGTAAAGCACAACACAAACTGCTGGAGCTATATAAATCCTGTATAACAATTTAATCAATCTAAATTATAGTAGCTCTTCATTTGGATCAGACTACATGGGCGATCCTTTGCCCCCACATGCATCAATGAGCTTTGGCTACCCATGACCCCGTTGCTGGTTTTCCTTCCTTGGACCACGTTTGCTAGATTCTGACCACTGCAGACCAGAAAAATCCCACAAGCGTTGCAGTTTAGGAGTTGCTTTGACCCAGTTGTCTAGCTAACTTGGCCACTAGCTAACTTAGTCACTCAAATCCTTACGCTTGCCTGTTTATTCTGCTTTCAACACATTAACATCAGGGACAACATATTCACTTGCTGCCTAATATATGTACCACCCACTTTCAGATGCCATTGTAAAGAGATAATCAATGTTATTCACTTTACCAGTCAATGGTTATAATGCTATGACTGATCAGTGTACACTCACCAGCCACTTTATTAGGTACACTTTGCTAGTGCCAAGAAAATATCCCCCACACCATTAAACCACCACCACCAGCCTGAACCGTTGATGCAAAGCAGGATGGATCCATGCTCTCATTGCCAAATTCTGACCCTACCATCTTAATGTTGCAGCTGAATCAGTCTGCCCATTCTCCTCTGACATTTTCATCCACACAACTGATGCTCACTGGATATTTTCTCTTTTTCAGACCATTCTCTGTAAACCCTAGAGATGGTTGTGCGTGAAAATCCCAGAAGAGCATCAGTTTTTGAAATACTCAGACCAGCCCATCTGGCACCAACAACCATGTCACAGTCAAAGTAAATTAAACCCCCCTTTCTTCCCCTTTCTGATGCTTGCTTTGAACTTCAGCAAGTCATCTTCACGACGTCTACATGCATTCATGCTTTGAGTTGCTGCCATGTGATTGGCTGATTAGCAATTTGTGTTACCAAGGAATTGAACAGGTGTACCTAATAAAGTGGATGGTGAGTGTATATGCAAAGAGTTCCACATTTTGTAAGTTCATGAATGCCCAGGATGCTACATACAAAGCAGATATATCAGAGGTTGAGAAAAGGGACTAAAAGGGTAACTCTACTTTCATTAGATAAAAAAATCATAAATAAAAAAATATATATATACACAATTGCTACAGAAGCCATTTTGAAATTGAATGTTATGAAAAATTACCCCAGTACTGTGATTTCTATAAAATTCAATGCAGTATGGCAAACTGGAAGAGTTCCATACACCATATGGAACACCTCCAGAAAGTCATTTCCTGCTTGTGTGATTGGCTCACTAATGTTCCCAAAAGTCTGCACAAAGATAAGTCAGATTTAAGGTATCCTCTGCAACAAAAATTTCATTTGGTGAAACACTCCAAAAGGGTTAACTTCTGAAAGGATTAAGAACCCGCAATTTTCCTCAACAATTGCATCAGGTGATTATTAATGAAAAAGTAGATCATCTGCAGACAACAAACAGGGTTTTCTTCAGATCAGAAACAGGTAGGAAATTATAACAAAGTTTGTTAAAAAGCTTGCAATGTACACGGGGGGTGGGTGCTAATGCGCTTGTGGATGTATCAAATAGTTCCAATAATCATTTGCAGCAGTCCTAAACTGTGGACTTGTACACACAAACTAATAAATAAATATAACCATATGGACCGAGCATAAATAGTGAAAAAAAAAATCAACAAAGTAATAAACAAAATAAATTAATCAGTCCCAGTAAGTGAAAATATGGTGCAGAGTGCTGATAATCTTGTTTGTGAACTCCTTTTACAATATAACAGGTGCTCCACTGTGCTCAGAATGGTGCCCCACATGGATTGACACTCCCCATCATCCAATGACCACCTATCTCTAGGATGGTCGTTTACGCTTGTGGGACTATCCCAGTGAAACAGCGTTGCTAATGGTAGCTGCTTGTTCCTCCAAACGAGCTGTATCAATACCAACTCGCTTCTCTTGCAGCCACAGCCTCCATAGCGGGGCCACTTATCGCACAGCGGAACCGGAAACAGGTTTCAGTGAAGGACAGATGTCAGAGAGACATGTCAGTCCATGTGAGGCACCATCCTGAGCACAGTGGAGCACCTGTTGCATTGTAAAAGGAGTTCACAAATCAAGATTATCAGCACTCTGCACCATATTTTCACTTATTGGGACTGATTAACCTCCCTGGCGGTATGATTATTTCAGATTTTTTGGTGCTGAAAGCAGTACTTTTTTTGCATGAAAATATGTATTTTTTTATTGTAGGCATGTAATTTTTAGGAATAACTCACTGAAATCTGTCCGAACAAGAGTCTAGTAAACATCCCGGGTATGATAAAATTTTAAACACAGTCATAAATTAGAATTTAATAATCATAAAAATAATAATATAATAATAAATTTAATTCAATAATATAAATCAAACCAAAAACACTGAAATTTGAAATATAGTGCCAAGTTCGCACATCACTGAGCAAAGTCGCAAAATCGTTTTCAGTGTCTGATGACGAATTTCCCCACGAATCATTATCACTCAATTCTGCAAGTGGTTCTGATTTATTATCGCTGTTTTCTAGCTGGTCTAAAACCGCTTTTGACCTAAAGGGGCGCTTTTTGGACGCCATGGACGTTTCTCAGTTTCCAGGCAGAAAGAACAGTAAAAATGCAGGCAGGGCACAGGACAAAGCACTCGGGACAAAATGTATGTGAAATGGTTTGATACAGTAATGTTTTACTATGTGACTTTAGTGAATGTCACTTTTTGTCATTTTTTTAATTTCCCGCCGTTCCGTCCCCCGTATGTCCCGACGCTCACAGGGGACGGAACCCAGAAGACAGATGCCGACATCCGCGGATTACATTGCCGGGGACACTGCAGGAGGGACATCGCGGGAGCGCAGGACAAGGTAAGTGATCGAGAGATCGCAGAGCAGTGCCGCATAGTATTCCCGAGTGTAGCTCGGGGTTACCACTTGTGGTACTGAAACTTTACCCCGAGCTACACTCAGGAATACCTCCAGAGAGGTTAATTTATTTTGTTTATTAGTTTATTGTTTATGTTGATTTCTGCGCGGTCCATATGGTTATTTAATGTACACAAATGACCCAAAGGGGACTGTTTTTTTCTCTCAACAAAAGTTGAGCTACGTTTTAGGCCTTTTACACACGGATGTAATAGTTTTCTGATGTTTATAATCAGGAATCCGTTTACATAAAGATCCTGAGTAAAAGACTAAGCATAAATGTATACATGTGTAAAATTCTTCATCCTCTTCTAGTTGCCAGTGTTGCAATATATGCGCTTATACAAGCGTAGACCACAATGCACCTGGGTTCAGATTAGTAAAAAACTTGCCAATTTTTATTCCCGTGTGTATGAGACCTTAATGATTCACATATCTTTACAAGAGTCTCCATGCACTTAAGCTTCCTACAGCAAATTCTGCTCCATACAATGCACAGACAGAGTCAGTGATAATTTTCCTATTGAATGTATGGTGTATGAAACGATTCCTAAATGGCTCCAGAGCTCTCCTGGTATTTGGGAATTCTCTACAAATGACACTGACATGTTTTGCAAACCTAAGCACTTTTTATTTCTGATGCTTCCAGGTTAAAAATCAGACACCGTCCGATCACATGAGATAATGTGACTTGTAGGAATCTGTTAAAGAGTGTTCTCACACATTCCCATAGTAAACCGTATTCAGAACTTGCACGTCTACCTGAGACAAACAAGAAAGCAGCTAGCCTATACTTGCTCCATAATGGCTGGCCTCCAGCCTAATTTATTTTATGCTTTTCATCTGATTTTAGCTCAAAGAAAACCCTATATGAGTATATACACATTAGGATTCCCAAAGAAGACCCCCCCCCCCCCCCACATCCTTTTCCAGATCCTTCTCAAGTTCCTTTCAACTATCTTTAAAGTATAGAAAACCTACACATTGCTAAAATGTAAAACAGCTATAAAAGGCTGTTTTTCACATATTCCGTTAACGCTGGTTAGGGCTTTGACAATTCATATCTGAAAGAGTTCAATTGGTTAAAATCTAAATTAAGAAACTGAAATTCATGCCACTAATTAAAAGGCTGTAAGTACTATGTATGATTAGTAATCACCAGGGCAGCAAAACATCTCAGGAAAGATAGCCAACAAATTAAAAAAAAAAAAAAAAAAGTATTTTCAGTTGTTAGTGGAAGCACATTTTTGCATTCTCTGCTGGCTCTTGGACTGAAGAGCCCCTAAATTGTATGCAAATATTCCCATCACTAGTAGCTATAACATTTCTGCACAGTGAATTATTCATAATATACAATTAAAAAAAAAATCTTTTAAACTTATAGAAAACCATCATAGCAATATATTTTATAGCAATGAATACCTGGGGCTATTATTATTATATTAAAATGACTTAAAAAGACTAAAATGACTTCACACAGAGAAAACCTACAAAATGAGGCATGTCACAGTAGCACATGTCGCATTTGTGGTAAGGGAAACAAATCAGTACACACTCCAACCCCCAACACATACATACAAATCCCTTGAGGGTGCATAAAAGAAGAAAACACATGACCTAACAGTCAGCCATAAGAATTGTACTATGATAAACAATGACACCTGTTTCATGGAGGTCTGTTTTCACCACATGAAAAACTACTTTAAGAAATGATATGGTGATGTATGGAATATTCATATACACACAAGTCTCAAAATTGCAGGCAGAAATCTGTTTTAAGAGGAGTTGCTCTTTAGACAACTCACAGCCTAAAAGAGCATAAATGGTTGTTTTATAAGAACACCAACATGTGAGGGACAACCTGCCTTAAAATAAGCTTGGAGTAGAATAATTAAAAGAAGCTAAAAAGTTTAAATGGCCCATTGCCATGATATTGACATGTCACTGATTATATTCATCTGTAGAATAAGGAGTTTAATTTTTCTATGTATTTATGTGAAAAACTGACAACTGAAAGTCTATTTTTGCTGGCCAGTGCATTCAATGTGGAAGAAATGGAACCCTTCTTGGAGGAAACAAGCCCACTAGTGACAAAACAGTAAGTAAGTAAAAACAAACCAGACTGGGTGCAAGTGACCTTGTACTGTTGCCCCTACCATGGTGAAGAGGTTCTGCTGAATTCTAACACCTTCACCTCAATACAAACTGGAAAAAAAGGCACATACATACACTTAGGTATTGTAACACATGAATATTTAAAATAAATACCCCCTCCTTTTGCAAGGGGTTAAAATAAACCAAAACACACCCTGTGTCATGATGCATTTTCTCTAAAGTAAAAATCCTCATCAAGGGTTTAACATTTGTAAGCAAAGTCAAGTCTTTCGTCTATATCTTCTAGTCACAGAATGGTTGAATTCAACTAGAGGTTCATTGCTGTAACTGGACATGGGATTCTGGGAGGCTCCTACATTTCATCCACTCCATTCTGCATCATCCATTCAATAAGTAGAATTAACTACCCTGATTTTGAGAACTCTTCATAAATGATAAGGACTATGAATGCAGGCTGGTATCAGCATAGAAAGGCACACGAGTGTGCCCTCTTATTATGGCGATACCTGTGGAAAATGGCATAAAATTATTTTACAACCTAGAAATGCTAAAAATAAGATACACCTGGTCTAGCATGGTAGGAAATGGCAACATTTTTAATTAAAACATTGTATCAGCATCTACCCCAATCTAAACATTAATATTTCCATGTAAACAGGTATCTGTAGTCCACAAAATATGATTTTCATTTTCAAAATTTTAACACTCGCTCTATCACTGTGTTTTTCAACTTCTCAAACCAAGTACCCCCTGATCTAGCACCCATTTTTGAAGTACCAAATATTTCAGACATGATAATAAAATCCAAGTTGTTAAAGTGTCTATAATCGCACTATTTAAAAAATCGTTTACCACAAGCACCCATTTGGAGCATGTTTTACAAGGGTTTTTTTTGTGTCTTTCTGGATCGAGGGTCCTGTGGTTACAGGTTCTTATAGGATAGTTTCACCTTTGGACCACTAACATTTTGCATGTTCCATCCATTTTTAGGGCAGAACGTGTAATATGTTCCAGCATCTGCAGCCCCTGCCCCCTGATCCTAATCTCTCTGTGACAGCCAGCAGGGGAACTCCTCCCTGCACCTGCTGTCACAATTTGAAAACAGTGCAGCCATGAAGAGCTCCGCCCACACAACCGCATCATTTATTCACAATTTTCTGCAAGTACCAGTGTGGCTGACATCTTGAAGTTCTCAATGAACTACCAGGGTGCTGGTGAGCATGCTCATAGTTCATTGATCTTCATGCTCTCAAGTAACTGCCTGCCCCCACATGAGGTATGAGCAGACAGCTAAGCCGAGAGTCTGTAGGAGCCTGAGATTGCAATCTACTGATCACATGTGTATTGCAGGCAACTAAGAAAAAAAATGCAAATTTTTTTACCTGCAAAAACTGTGCATTTATTATTTTTGTTACATTTTACATATATTTTATGGCGCTGGCTTTGTCACAACCGCTATTACCAAGTAAATTGTCTTGATTGCCTTTTACCCTGTTTTGCACATTTCATCTTTTTGACTGTTTCTAAATATGGAGAAATTGTGGAGTAACCCTGAAAAGATGAATCTGCCAGGCTGTTTGTTCTGTCGCTCTGCAGAGTGCAATTCAAGGACTCGTCTCTAATGATCCATGACCACAGTGCCCAGCACTGAATGCTCTATGATGTTTGTCACTGAAATGTTCAGTTAGCTTAAAAATATACCTTGAGAAGTTTCCAAGAAATGTTTGCTTGCAAAAGTAAGGCTATAAGTGGAAGATGAGCATTTACGTGGGTGAAAGATTTCACATTGCTTCCAATATATTGTTCTCAGGGGAAAGTGGTGCAGAAAGTGCTTTTTTTTGTCAAAGCACAATTATTGCTTGTTCTCGTACAAGATTAGAAAAATAAAGCAGACATTCTACATCAGATGCATCAATTATTGCTTCTTTCCCCTCTCCTCCTCCTTGAAATGCTTCCCATTTAATCTGGCATATGTACCAGATGTTACTGAGGTCAATATGATGACACTGCTACCATATGTGGTGTTAAGTGGGTGTGCATACATTAACTGAAGCATCCAAAGCCTTTCTGGAAATAGGCATGATTACATTTCGTTTCTGTCCCAGAGTATATGCAAACACAATGTCACATGGCCAAATAAAAGAACAAAACACACTTGCTGGATTTGACTAAAACACAAAACAATTACATTAATGACTGACGGGGTTACTAAACATAAAAAAAAATTATGAGAAAATACAACAAAAAAAAAAAAAAAACTATGAAAACCCCGAGTACAGAGTACACATCTTCACAGAAACGGGGGTGGTCAATTTCTTCTTGTGTAACCTATGGTTCTACGTAAGCTTCCAGAAATGGTTCTACAGTATGGAAGCTTCCAGAAAGAACCCAGGAGAGACAACTGGTCACCTGATTGGTCACCTCGGTGCACGTTAGTGGAGCAGCAGGTTACATTAAACACAGCTGGATTCACCGGTCATGTTAGCATTTTTTTTGTTTTTTTTTGTGGACAACCCAGCAGTCGAGGTAAGAGGGGGGAAAAAAAATGTAAAGGGGAAGTGAAGATCCTCTTTAAGCAAATAAGTAATCAAAACACGAATTCACAGTTTTCTTCTATGAAATACCAGGACAGCTGTACAATTAAAACAGATTGATATTTTTAAATATCGCTTGTCCTGATAAATGACTTAACTCCTTCATAAACAGGGATATTTTGTAATTATATTCAGAAAGCTTTAAGTGATTTTAATTTGTTTTGATGATGATTTTGTAGTACAATAGCCCATTTCTGTCTATTGATAGTAAGGAG